TGTCAACTAAGTCAAATAATAATTTGTAGATCAATTTTGATGATCTTATAATAATGTTAATTTTACAGCTAACAACGATTTGTATCAGGATACATTGTAATGCAAGCTTCAGTATAAACAAGCCGCTCACCATCAGGAAGCAAATTATTAGCGGAACAATCCTCTTCTAAAAGCTGAAGTCGTCCAATAGACTCACAGAAAAAGTCACTTACATGAATACTAAGGCCTTGTGACTTGTGACGAAGTATATTCTCATCTGCCAGACCCCAAGCTTTAACAATATCATCATTGGCATAAAAGATTGATTCATCATGGGTAATTGGAACAATCTCAGAAACATCATGGGGAAATACAGGTAAGATGATTTGGTCCAAATTATTGCCTTCGTAAGTAGCAATTCGTTTTTGTAATTCTGCCTATTGTTGCAAAAATCGACTTCTATCTGCAACTACATCTTCACGTTCATGACCATCAAAGTAAATGTTCTTTGAGTAGTCTTTATATTGCTAACCAAGAATATGTAGCCATTCGCGTGCAGTTGAATGTGAGATACTTGTCTTTTCTTCTATTCCAAGGGCAGGGATAATCTCATCTTCAATGAATTTTACAAAATCAGCAACATTTAACTTGAATTTATACGCACATAGATATTCAGTAACTCGCAATTTAACGTCTTCATGCAAAAGAAGAGATCTGATTTTTGCATGGCGTCCGCGATTAGATGTAGTAATCTTACCTTTATTAAACCATTGGTTTGCCCAGGAGTAGATAAGCTGCGCTTGCCATGGACCTTTGTTCAAGCTCTGGGTAAGAAGATTACTTGCATTCATCTTGCTGTATTCTTGGTCCTGGACTAAATGGAGAAATTGACTTACTATTTGAAGCCGCAAATCATCATTCTTTTTTTTAATAATAAATCTAGAGATTCTAAGGTGAATTCATTATTATCATTATCACTGCTGTCACATGTATAATCAAATGCGGGATCATCATTATCTGTATTAGGCATAGCAGCTTCATTTGTTGAAAATATTTCAGTAATTTTCTTAGAACCCGATGCTGCTTTTCGCCAATATGCCCTCTTGTTGCATAATGTTGACTTTGTATCACCATTATATACTGGCCCACGTGAATTTACAGCCCATATATGTGACTTTGTACTTTCGATCAATTGTTCTAATATATTTGGTTTCTATGCTTGCATTTCATCCGTAATTTCTTCACTCTCAAAACGCATTTCCTCACCCTCTATCCAAAAAGTACCAAACCATGATTCATTAAACTCATCCGGTTCGGCATCTGATGGTTCAAATACTACTTCTTCAGAACTTTTTGCTTGCTTCCAACGTTTCTTGATAGCTTCTCGAGACTG